AAAGTGGTCGGTGCCAATCAGAGCCGTGGTTTTTGGGGGTGTTGCCTCTTTGGTTGTCGGCTTACTCTGTGTGATTGGCACCACCGCTGCCAATGCCTTATTCTCGATGTATGTCGCTGGGAACTATTTCGCTTGGGGTACTCCAATTTTCCTCAGGCTCACCTTTGGCAGACTGAAATTCACCCCTGGGAAGTTTTATACCGGTGACTTTTGGTCCCCGGTCATCGGTTGGGCTGCCGTACTTTTCATGATGTTTGTGATTGTGATGGTGCAGTTTCCAGCCAACCCGACGGTGGATAGCAATACAATGAACTACACGTGCGTGATCACACCAGGGGTGATGATCCTCTCGCTTGTATACTATTTTGTCTACGCTCGTAAGTTCTATCACGGCCCAGCCTCGAATATCGAGGAAGATTATGACGTGATGGAAGGTGTGGATGGTGGTAGTTTGGCTGATTATGAGGTGGTTCAGGAGAAGGTAAAGGGTACGGCTTAAAGTCTTGCCAATGCTGAGTTACGTTTAGATTTTTGTGAGGATAGTACTTTGATAATGATTTCTAAACATGAATTGGAGCTTGGCCGAAGCTTATGCCAGATGGCGTTGAGGTATTTATCAGGATATTTACATATACTTTTCAATCCCCTCTTTCTAATGAAGGGCACCCGCCTCGAGGGATGTTTGATTTAGACAAGTGGGGTAACGGTTTCGTATTCTTGTTTAATCTACGGTCACATTAATAGTCCACTCATATTTGAATTTATTCGGGAATTTATTGTATATCCTAGTGCTTCTATAGGTTATTGACCGTTTTCAATATGAATAAAATTTAGTCAATAAAATTTAATGTAGTAAAGCATCACTTGAGAGTAAGAGGGATTTCTTGATCCCGTTTATTAAAATTTTTGTATGCATTTAATCGTAGATTCTTGGTAACAAGCTCACGCGAGGATTACGAACCACCCCAGGATGGGTAACTTCACTTTCTATCCTGGGCTCAATATCACGTCTGAGTTAACCTGTTTATCAGCCCGCGATAAGGGCCTCCACCAGTCTAGGGTCACGGGCGGCTTCCCAGCATGCATATAGTGCGGCTCATCTCTAGCGGCTGCCCCAATAAGGACACATTATGGCCTAGCCCTTGTTTATCAGCAATCCACGTCCAGGAGCATGATTAGGCAAAACGCCGTAAGGGGTGCAGAACCACGATTGGTCATTCACGTTTGATACTCACTAAGTCTATCTTAACATTTCCCCCACTGCTTCATATTACGTAACACTTACGGGCTGTCTGCAGCAGGCTACATTTTACCTGCTCCGCAGATAAAAATAAGCTTTCCTAAGATGCCTCTCTGAGCTGCTGGCTATCCTGGCTCTAAAGTTGATAAGGAGAGGTGGAAATCTGGCAGTGACGATTGATCGCCAATGGTTCCAGTCATGACGGAACTATGAAATGATTATCAGTTAAGTTTCTGCGCTATATTCAATATACACGTCAATTCTACTTCGGGTCGTTCCGCGCGCCTCACATTAAACTTCAAATGGATCTCACTAGCACCTCTTTTATGGGGTAGAAAAAGGAACGATAACCGTTCGTCCGAGGCGTCACGATGATATAAATACAATCCGGTCCCTGGGAATTTCAAGATAGAGCTATCCAATTGACAACTAGCACTACCCTAGCTTACCAGTCCTAGTTTACCTGTCCTAGTTATTGTCGGTTACTGAAGACTGATCTTTTCTCAGCCGTATATCCTTCCTATTAAAAGTATACACCAGTACAGGCCTATCTCTATTCTATCATTCCTCATGGTCAAACCAGTAAACGAACTATCCTCGTCATTGTCCCACGGGATGGGAGCCGTCTCCTCCGGCTCCATCCACGCACAACGAACCAACATTATCGATGCAAGACTTGCAGGCAACGATAACGAATTGTTGGCCGAAATCGGGTACAAGGCCGAACTCAGCAGAAAATTCAGCACCATCCAGGTGTTCGGGGTGGCCTTCTCGATCATGGGCCTTCTTCCCTCCATCTCTTCGGTATTAGGTCTAGCTCTTTCGGGAGGTCCTGTGGGGATGATCTGGGGCTGGTTCATCGCCTCCTTCTTCATCCTCTTGATTGGGATTGGGATGGCCGAGCTCGGTTCTGCCATGCCAACCTCTGGTGGTTTGTACTACTGGACCAACTACTATGCCGATGATGGCTGGAAGACCTTCCTCTCCTTCATCATTGGGAACGTCAATTCCTTGGCCTTGGTCGGTGGTCTCTGCTCGATCAACTATGGTTTTGCGGCTGAAATTCTCTCCATTGTGGTTATCTCTCGTGACGGAGACTTCACCATCACCAACGGGATGACCTACGGGGTTTTCGCTGCTTGTGTCTTGAGTCACATCGTCGTTACGCTGTGTGCGTCATCCGGTGTCTCCAAACTTCAAACGTTCTCCATCGCGTGCAATGTGGGTTTGATCACTTTGTTTCTCATTGCCATCCCGATTGGAACCGCGAGATCTTCCACCCAATCCTTTAACGACGCCAAATTTATCTTTGGGAACATGCAATCCATGACCGGGTGGACCCCCGGCTGGCAGTTTGTGTTGTGTTGGATGCCGGCGATCTGGACCATTGGGGCGTTCGACTCCTGCGTGCACATGTCTGAAGAGGCCAAAAATGCCACCAAGGCGGTTCCTATTGGGATCGTATCCTCGATTTCGGTCTGCTACGTCTTGGGGTTTGTTATATGCATTGTTATCGGTGCCTGCATGACCCAGGATGTCAGCTCGATTGTGGACACCAAGTTTGGTCAACCAATGGCCCAGATTATCTTCAATGCCTTAGGAAAGAAGTGGGCGATGGCCTTTATGGCTTTGATCGCCTTTTGTCAGTGGTTGATGGGTGCCTCCATCTTGACCGCCATTTCCAGACAGATCTGGGCGTTTTCCAGAGA